TATGCCCTGTAATTCTAGGTCATCAATGATTTGTAAGTCACTGAATCCCATGGCCATTTGTAGGCATCATACTTTTCAGCAGCATCCAACCCTGCTGGCCACTCCCTCTTTCTTATAACTTTTCTCTTAGAATAAGTAACACCAGAGTCTTCTGGTTTTTCTTTTACTCTCTGCCTACTCCTTCTCTTTGTATGTACATTTCCTTACCTGTATAGTAATAGTAACATTAGAGTTCTTCAAGGCCAGGCCCTAGGTCTGCTTCTGTTCTTTCTTACCTTCACTCTCTACCCCTAAATGACAAAATACATGCACATGGCTTCAATGGCCATCTAAAAATAGATGAATTCCAAATCTGTATCTCTAGCCCAAATCTCATCTCTGAGCTTCAAGACCCATTTATCCAACTGGCCCATCTTCATTTCCCACCTGCCATTCACCCCTCACTGTAACATGGTTTCTGCCCTACCAGTTCACTGATGACTTCATTACTGCCAAATAACACTCCAATTCCTTGTTTTCTTAAACCTCTCTGTGGCATGGGACACTTTCTGCCATTCTCATTCCTGAAATTTTCCCTTCCCAAATTTTAGTACTCTCTCCCAGTTGAGGACCATTTTCTTGTAGTCATCTTTGGAGGTCCTTCTTCTACCTGCCTTTTGGGCTACTGGTTTCTAAAAGCTGATGAAACATAAAGCAGTGACTTGTTAAGTAAAGGCAAACTGATGCCATGTTAGGAAGCGTTTGCAGATGAAAATCAAGCAAATGCTCAAGTCCAAACATTTTGGTTCTTATGAGACAAGGGTAGTGAACCATGATTTGATTCTCTCCTTGGTGGGCAAAACAAAGGCATAAGGCTAGTAAAGGCAGAAATTAATATCATTCCTCCCCTTTCAAAATTCCCATGAGGTTAATTTAGTATCAATGGTTTAATTTCTCTATGCTGGGTGTGGTGGCTCATGCCATAATCCCAGCACTTTGGGAAGCCAAGGTAGGAGGATCCCTTGAGGCCAAGAGTTTTGATACCAGCCTGGGCAACATAGTGAGACCCTGTATCTTAGAAAAAAGAAAAAGAAAAGGAAAAGTTCAATTTCTCAAAACAAATAGAATAGCTATTTAGTAAAGTTAATAAACACACTTAGCTTCATACTTGAATGCTGTTGATATTTATTAATATCAATACAAAACAAATGGAGACTAAAAGTTGCTATTTAACAGGAACAGACTTTGGTGCAATTTCCTTCCTGGAGAGGGTATGCACTCAGATCATGAGACCTAAGATAAAACAAAGACTGGATTGTCAAGAACCAAACGAGGGCTATATTTTACCTATTAATATAAAAACTGCTAAAGGCAAAATGAGATGTTTAAAAATATTCTTTACGCTAAATTCATGTAAGCAAACAGAAAATTAAAACTAATCCTAAAACTTTACGACGTCAGATATAGACGTAACATGACTATCTAAATTTTTGCATCAACGAAAATTTGTTATATCCTTCACTGTACTTGTACTACAATGACATGCTTGTTGCTCCTACACTATACAAAGTCAACAGTTATCACCAACGATGCAATATAACTAGATCTGAACAAGACTTCAAAGTGACTCTGCTCCACCCAAATTAAGAAAATTCAATCCAGGATTAACAACATATTTTGATTTTAGAACCAGCTCTTATTTTTTTCTCATGTCATACATATTTCAATTGTCACTTAACATTTTTGTCCTGCAAATTTTTTTCCTTCAAAACTTCAGCTGCATCTCTCCTGCAAATTATAATGCATATGCTCACCATCATCTTTTTCTGACATGTTAAAATTAATTTTTAGAAATTGCAAAAACAATGAAATTGTACTTCCAATTCTAAACCTGCGATCAGATTCCTGCTTTGACGCAAAACATACTCCTCTGCAGTGTACCCCACCAGCTCAGCGACTCCCTTTCTTTCTCTCTATTCCTTTGCCCTGAAGGCACTTCTGGATTGCTTAACACTTGCTCTTTGGCTGCCTAGACAGTCAGGACACCTAAGGCCATTTGGACTTATCACTCGTCTCCTCCTTCTTTTCTATGGCTAATACCACTTTCCTGCTTTTTTTCTACTGCTGAATCTCCAGACTTGGTGCTGTCATCAGGGGGACAGAGTCGATTTCGGCTTCGAGCTCCTGGTTGGTAAAGCTGCATTGCTGGGCGATCCTAAAGTAAAATGAAATATGTTAATGTGACAACCTTGCTACTGAGCTTTTTACATGGGATTTTCAGAGTCACATGTTATGTATTAACATATACCAAAAACAAGTCATATAAGACCAAAAGTGTGAGGGCATAGTACATTGACAACTGCCCACTTTCTCTCCTCTACCTTCAAAGAAAAACAACCATTTTGTAAATATTATTTTACATGCTTAGGGTAAATTTTTGAGAAATATGCCTTATTTTCTTAACAATCTCAAGTTGAACTAATGAGCCTGATTTGTTTTTTACTTAGAAACCACAGCTATTACCTATCTGTACTCCCCATTAGTAAGTTGACTTTAAGATGCACCACCACATAAGAAAATGTTTAGGAATAAAATCAACAATAATAGAGAATGAAAATTCTTAGAGATTTCCCTGAAATTATGAGCTCAGACTCCAGGTAACTTGCCACAAACATAATTTGTTTCTTAATTCAGGTATAATGTAACACTTCAGCAAGTGGCATTTTAGATCTCAGGTTCCTAAATAAGCCACAATAAAGTTATCATGTACCCCCTAGTTAAAGTAATGTGTTTGGTTTATGACAATAAAATCATGGAAAACATAAAGGTATAGGTCTTTGTTTTTAGAATTCAACAAAAAATTACATAAGCCTTTCCTACTTTCTCCCTGATTTATGAAAGTTAGCCCTAAAACATTATTTGAAATTGAATAATTCCAGCAAAAATATTTAGATTAAAAGAGAACTTAAGGAGACATTTCAAGCAAATACAATTTGTGGACCTTGTTTAGATCCTATAAAATCAGTAATTGGAAAAATCTGAACACTGAGTAGAGAGGATGTTAAGGAATTATTATTAGTTTTTTTATGTGAAAATGCTAGTAGGTGTCTCATCTCAAAGGATCTGCTCTTTTTTTTTTGAGACAGAGTCCCGCTTTTTTGTGCCCAGCTAGAGGGAGTTGCCATGCGTCGCTAGCTCACAGCAACCCAAACTCTCGGGCTCAGCATCCTTTCCTCCAGCCTCCCAAGTAGCTGGGAGACAGGCACTGCACCACATGCCGCTAATTTTTCGAATATGTTAGTTGGCCATTAATTTCTTTCTATTTAGGTTAGAGAGGGGTTCGTCTTGTCAGGCTGGTTTCAAATCTCCTGACCTCGAACAATCCGCTGCCTCGCGCATCCCAGAGGTATAGATACAGCGTGCCACCGGCCGGCCAAATGTTGACGTCTTTAAAAGAATATTCTAGGATTTGCTGAAAATAATCCAATAGGTGTAGGGATGGAATAGGAGCAGAAACACGGTTCACCGAGCGTATAATTGTTGAGCTGGGTGATGTACAATGGGGGTGTCATATTATTCTCTGTCTTTTGGTATGTTGAAATTTCTTGCAATATTATAAAAGAACCCAGAAGACTAAAAATAAAAAGGTTGCAGATTCCCTTTCAAAATATCCTACAATAAACAATGAGCTAGCCTTTTTTACATTCAGAAAAGAAAAAAAATCCTCATGAAAATATACAAGTTTAACAAAGCAGACCTTGTTTTTATGCGATCTCTCTTAACCACTTCCTCTTTCTTTCTGTTTTTTCTGGCTGCCTAATGATCTGTACTTTCATTCTCTTTCCTTTATCCCGGAATGCTTCTTTCTCTTTTTTCATTCTTCTTCTTTTCTTTAAAAGCCTTCCTCTTTCATAGACCTCTCTTCTGCGCTAACGCGCTACTTCTTCTGGCGTTCAGCTCTCTTCTATTATCTCGAAATCGCTCTGATCTCGCTATACCGTTCTACTCTCTGAGTCTTCGGCACTATATATAACTGTAGATGAGAACCTCAAAAAATTGAGATCGAACCAAAGATCGAATCCAGTGCAGACCTGATCTGACTGCCACCAAGTGACATATTTTAGAGCTAGAGTGAAAACTATAAGTGTTTTGTTTTGTTTTTTGAACAAAGTCTTGCTTTGTTGCCTAGGCTAGAGTGAGTGCCATGGCGTCAGCCCTGGCTCACAGCAATCTCCATCTCCTGGGCTCAAGCATCCTGCTGCCTCAGCCTCGGAGTAGCTGGACTCAGGCATGTGCCACCATGCTTCGGCTATTTTTTCTATATATATTAGTTGGCCATTAATTTCTTTCTATTATAGTAGAGATGGGTGCTGCCTTGCTCAGTGGTTTCGAACTCCTGACCTCGAGCATCTGCCCGCCTCGCTCCCAGAGTGCTAGGATTACAGGCATGAGCCACCGCGCCAGCCTACACTAGTGTTTAAAAAGCAACAGAAACCAAAACCATTCACCCAGATTAAAATACTAGATATATTATATATATAGTATATATATATATTTTTTTTTTTTTTGAGACAGAGTGTCACTCTCTTGCCTGGGCTAGAGTGCACTGGCGTCAGCCTAGCTCACAGCAATCTCAAACTCCTGGGCTCAAGCAATCCTTCTGCCTTAGCCTCCCGGGATAGCTGGGAATACAGGCATGTGGCACTGTACTCTGCTAATTTTTTCTATTTTTAGTTGTTTGGCTAATTTCTTTCTATTTATAGTAGAAACGGGGTCTTGCTCTTGCTCAGGCTGGTCTCAAACTCCTGAGTTTAAGAAACCCTCCCACCTAGGCCTCCCAGAGTGCTAGGATTACAGGCGTGAGCCACCACGCCCGGTGATACTAGAATATTTGAAACCCTTCCTCCTCATCCTCCTGCCCTGGATAAAACAGTTTATCTTAATTCAGGTACAAGTCCAGAACACAGCAGCAAAACTAGCATCTAGAAATCAAATATACCAAAGAGCCCTCTACTACTGACCTCTTTGGCTTGTCATCTTTAAGTTCACTATCAGATCGCTTGGGCAATGTACAACTTTGCCCACTGGCTCTTTCATCATTCAGATTCTCTTTGTCCAATTTCTTAGGTTTTTCTCTTTTGTCCAACTCTTTTTCATCTCCTTTTTCTGGCTTCTTCAGCAGCTTTAAAGAGAATATGTTTATTTTTATTTTGAAGGGTGGGACACTGTCTTCTCATTCTATCAAAGAAAACAATATACTAAATATTTAAAATTTAGACTACAGAAGCCCCCATCTCTGCAGGTACTCTTAAACTTTCAGGTGAACTATCAGTGCACAAGAGTAGTAATTTACAAAAAGGATGATATTAATGTGAAAGTGTTATCCACCCAAAGTGAAGTGGTTTAATCACTTTGTGGCAATGGGATCAAGACTCCTTTGGCTTTCAATGAATGGGTCAACCTTTAAGTGAACCAATGTACACTTCCAAGTATGCTTCTGTACCAAATTGGCATGTCAGTGTAACTTGATGGGAAATATCCCACAAGTTTAAAATTCTAGGCAGATAATTACTGTTGGACTGGTTTTTTTTGCTTTTTTTTTTTTTTAGTAGTACTTGGAATGACAAACACCTTTGTCACCAAAGGAGAGATCCATTGCAGGAATAATTGTGCCTTGAGCCTGAGATTAACATACTTATAATGGTAGAATTATATTACCATTAAAGATGAATGCAATAATTATTTGGCATTTGATTTAAAAATCTAAATGCCTTATACAACAGCATGGTGAAGTTCCATCTCTATTGAGTAGGAACTCTGTACTCAATGCCATACATATTTATATATGTACAAAACACCATTGTTTCTCACATCACTGCTACAAATCTCTCTAGAATACCCCCAAGTGTTGGATAATCAGAGAGATTCTTAGGCAAAATAGAAGAATTTCAAGTCTCAGAGTGAAGGTATTATACAAGGTTCATCTCAGGGTGAAGGCATCATACAAGTCACCAAGCAAAAAGCAAAGCACCACAAGACTCGAGCATGAAGTATGTCAGCACACAGACAGCCACTGCAAATGGAAAATCCAAACTGGACACTAAGAAGGCACCAGTGTGAAGTAAGGATACCATGTGCAGGTTTCATTGGAAGTGTTTTTATTTTTCTAATGAACGTCTTTATTAGAAGCCAAGATGTTCATTACTCTAGTAAGAACATTAATGAATGTCTCTAGCATGGCTAGCTCTACCTTCTGCCTTGCTGATTGTTAAGAATAGCAAGTCAAGCCACTTGTGGCATGGCGGACAGAGAGATTGCTTGAAGGAATTAAGATGAGAAACTCCCCTCCTCCCTAATTCCCTTATCACCAATAAAAAGCCCTGTAGAGACTTAGGAAACCCTAGCTACATAAACTGCTGAGTTTTCAGGAGATAAAAGTTTTCAGGAGATAAAACCCTGCCACCATGTCTGTGAGATTTTCTCTGACTTTCTGAAGTTCACTGGAGCAAGGGTTGCCCAAGCCATGCCCTCAGAAAGGAAGCAGCAAGGCTGGATCTTTCTATAGGTTTTTCACTTCCTACATGCAATACATTAATCAGAATCTGCTGCTCACAGATACCCAGCTTGATTCAAGAAGATAACATGGGAGTCACTTGAGAGGGAAAAGTACATAATGCAGATATATATTCCTAGTCCTCCCACAAGGAAGCCAGTTATGAGAGTCATATAAGATGAGAAAGAGCTATATAGGCATGGTTGTCCTCTGGCTGTATGTCATTGAAGCTTCTGGGTACACAGCAGAGCATCAGGAAGTCATCTGAGATTCCCTTAAAGTAGAAATTTAAAACAACTCAGCTTTTAAGAAGACCCAAGTCAGTCTGAAGGGGTTTTCAAAGGTAATACTACTACCACCATCACCAAAAGGACTTATTAACTAAGACCTGTGTGTGTGACATGATACTAGGTGCTCTGTATCATGTACTTGGTCCTTACATTTTTCTGATTCACAGCTTGTAACAGAAACCTGTGTACCTGAAGACAGTGGAAAACAAACAGATGAGGCAACTTCATGTATCAATTATGAAGGAAAAGCTGAATAAAACCCATAATTCATGCCAGCCAGCCCTAAGCCCTCATTTACTATGAACACAGACAACAGTAATCTAAAAATCAAACATTTTCAATGATAGAAATTAAAACATCTACATTGAAGAAATGATAACATAAACTACTTAATCCCTTTAAATAATCTTAAATTAAAAAAATAATAGAATTATAGGAAAGATTTTTAATGGCTCACTTCCCCCAAAAAAGGACAAAAACAAAACAAAAACCTTATTTACACTAACACAAGATGCATGCATATTTAAAGAGGCATACACACAATTATCAGCAACATGCAGTCAGTTTCAGTTATTTTCATACCTTAATCTTTGGTTCATCCTTTAATTTATTGTCCCTTTCTGGAACTCTCTCTACCTTCTTTAGCTTTTCTATATCTTTCCTTTTTCGTTTCTCTTCTTCTTTCCATTTTCTCCTCTCTTCTTCTCTTTGTCTTTTTCTTTCTATTTCTCGCCTCCTTCTTTCTTCTCTCTTTTCTTCTCTCATTCTCTAGAAAGAAACACCAACACAAGCCTTCAAATAAGATAATCATCACCAAATTCTAATCAATCTCAAAAACATGGTGGGCACCCACTAAACTAGATCATCTTTCTTTACTACTTTCTACAAAGTGGCCTTCTACCTCCTTAACCCCCACCCTACCCAGAAAATGACAGAGAATGAAGACCAGGACCTGCTAATATCAAAATCTATTGCTGCCTTGCTATATTTCTAGATGCTTTCAGAATATCAAGAGAGTGTCTCTGGGACAAACTAAGGACTCTCCAGGTTTGCAGAGTGAACTCCTGGTCCAACAACCAGAGCGAAGGAGAGGGCCAGAGAGTGAGACCAATGGGCCAAATCTTTAATGAGTAATGGTGAAAATGCAGCTATTTCTCCTATAGAACCCCAATGCTCTTAAAATGTTTATAAAATATGAACCAATGAAATTAAAAGTAGTGAGAGAACTATAAAAACAAAAGATTTACCTGCTTGTTTTTCAGGAAGCTCAAAAGTGGGGTTGTCTTTTTAGCTACATAAATGTAAACAGATTATTAATATAATACTTATCAACCCCTAGAAAGGATTCCATCTTCTGATATTCCCTGCCACCCACCCAAGGTGGGAAAACTATACCCCTTAAATAGAAAGCTCACAACTGGATCATCAGAAAGAAGTTTAACAGTATTCCCATTTCAACAATACAGGTTTAAAATGCTTTTTTAAAAGTGAAGAAATTCAAATTAAAATAAAGCCATTTTTAAAAAGAGTAATTCCCAGTTGGTGAGAATTAAATACAAAGACATTCTCTTGTTTTACTGACATAGGTATAAATGTGTTCAACTGTAAAGAAACTGGGAGAAGAGGCAAAGAAAATATCTAATCCTTTTGACTGCATAATTCTACTTCTGGGAATTTATTCTAAGGAAGTTACCAGAAATGGGCATATACTATGTATCCATAACAATGCTATTAGCCATGTAGCCATCTTTGTGAACACATACTTCCTTAGGATAAATTCCTAGGAATGGAAATGCTGGATCAAAGACTGTTCATGTTCTTTTTTTCTTTTTCTTTTAAAGCCAGTCAAAGACTGCTCATGTTTAGAGATACTGATAGAGTAGTGACAGCTCACTACTTAGAACCAATACCTAGACTTTCTCAAGGTTTTCAATTTTACAGTAACTAATTTCAGTTTTTGATATTTTCCAATTCAAAATTTTTCTAGGAATATAAACTTATTACTGGGAAATACCAATTGATCTTCAAAGGCTTATCATTGTCTAAACATCCCTTATTAGTCTTCAAACTTTTTATATTTATAATATAGTAGTGTGACACTAAATAGGTCAGAGAAGTTTTTCCATCTTATCAATGCATTCTCATAATCCTGTGTGGCAGGTATTAACGCCAGCATTTTATAGAAGAAATAGTCTCAGAGAAGCTAATGACTTCCCTAAGGTCACACAGCTAGCAAGTGATGAAAGTGGGAGACAGACTTAGGTACTGTGATGAAAAAGCTGTTGCTCTAATTCCTTCTGCCCACTTACCTATTAATTCTCTATTTTTTGCTTCTATTTCCTCTAGCAGTGTCTCTGGAGTAGATGTCATTTTCTCATTATCTGCGGCATAACTTTCCAAAAATTTTCTATATTCTGGATCTAAATAATCATTCAAGAAAACAGAAAACATAGCAGACTTTAAACAAAAAAGGAGATATTTATTATCTAGGATACTTATTTATCAAAGATGATTTTCTACGTCAGGGAATATTGACTTAAAAAAACTATACCCACAAGATAGACTATTTAGGGCTTAATCGGTCACTTACACTCAGAGCTCCTATTACCCATACTCACTAAAGGAATCTGGTGTAACAGGAGATCAGGAAAAATGAGACACTGCACATTATAACACAACTGCCAAGGGTGTTACATAGTTTGCTTTTAAAAGTCACTGCTCCTACTAATCCAGAGTCATACTTATGGGAGCTATGGAATCTTCATAGAATATTATGTATAGCATTTAAGCAAATCCTCTGTGGGTATACCTCATTTTAAATAAACTCAACATATAAAAATCTGGTGTTCCAAAAAGATAAATTAGGGGGGGAAGTCCTATACACAGCACTGGAAGTGATGATAATTCCTGGAGTTCTCTCCTAGACACCTCTGACATCAGAAAGGGTAACATGTCTGAGTCATATTTGTTGCTTATATATACTATTGACCATTGTCACTTAATCTAGTTTTTCAAATAGAAATCTGTGATCTAATAAGCAGCTGTGTGTTATTGAGTTTTTACTATTTTCTTTATGAAATACCTATAACAAATGATGGAAATGAAACTAGATGGTTTTAAAATATAAATCTGATATAAAATACATAGGCTAAGTCCTTATCCAACATAACAAGAGTTACGTAACAGTTATCCAACATAGCATAATGTTACAGAGCTCTCAAAATCTGGAGCTGGTTTACTTTAAATGGCAATTATTCTAGTTTTTCAGTTCCTGTATTTCTGTTCAACTTAATTACTATTAATAGGTGTGTAGTTAACTGCATAGTCAGGCCTAGAAAATAGGACTGACCACTTCAGCTACTTTCTATGAAGTTACTTGGGTATGGAAATTTTTTCATCATAGTTCAAACCTTCTTTATAAATATAATGGGAACCAAAAATCAAATAATTATAAAAATGGTAAAAGGCCTCAAGGAGCAGTTGTTATACTTTGAAACATCTGATTTTTTTCATTTGCTCCTCAATAGTCAACACTACACTGTTCAATGGTGGAGGAATGAAATGCCACTACCCAAAGAAAGCGGAAACTCTGCGGGAAACTCACCTCCATTATGACAATTAAGCAAAGCTTCCATCGGCGACTAACATTTCTCATTAACTTTATTCTACATGTTTTTTAATTTAAAATATTGGGGTCTAATTACCTCTCACAAAGGTGTTTTTTTTAAAAAACTCCATGGCAATAGCATTATATAACTAGAACTATACTGTACCATCATCGATAGTCCCAACTTTGGTATCTCTTTTCTTAGTCTTCTTTTTTGCAGCTTTTTGAAAAGGTGCAAATTCTACTATAGCAGGATATTCCTGACCTGTTTAGAAAAAAAAATACCACACTTGCTATAACGAAGAAAATGTCAAAAGTGGATAGAAGTGAATCAACTCACTGCTTTCTAGGCCTCCTCTGATGGCAGTCATCTGAAGAGGGTCTCCCAAAGGGCATAAAGCACACTGGCACAACCATAATCAACATACTATGAAAGGAGCCCAAAATTCACACTGATAACATAATAAAAAGATATGGCACAAAAGTATTATTTAAATTCAACTTCTAAAATGTGATATTGTTCATGCTTTTAAAAGGGCTTGTTAAAAAAAGTAAAATGTGATATTGCAATATGTGAAAAAAGACCCTACAAACTAAATTTCATTTAAAAATAATTATAAATCTCTAGAATTGTCAAATCTATAGAGACAGAAAGTCAACTAGTGGCTATACAAAGTTGGGGGTGGTAGTGGTGTGAAGAATGAGGAATGACAACTAATGGGTGGGGTTTTTCATTGGGATGATGAACATGTTCTAAACTTAGATTGTGGTGACAATTGCACAATGCTGTGAATATACTACAAACCACTGAAATGTACACTTTAAAAGGGTAAATTAAAAAAAACAAGGGTAAATTTTTAAGGTATGTGAATTATCGAAAGCTGTTATTTAAGAAAAGCCTAACTATGTGAGATGACGGATGTGTTAATCAGCTTGATTGTGGTAATTATTTCACAATGCAGACATATATCAAACTATCACACTGTACAATTTAACTATATGTACAGTTTTGTCAATTATACCTCAAAAAAGCTGGGGGGAAAATCCTATTATCACTAAAAAAAAAAAATACACCAAGACACTAAAAGCACAGCAACAAAAGTAAAAATAGAGGGGGTAGATCTCATGTTAAGTGTTCTTACTACAATAAAAGAAAAATTAAAAATTGGCTGGGCATGGTGGTTCACACTTACAATCCTAGCACCCTGGGAGGCCGAAGCAGGAGGATAGCTTGAGGCCAGGAGTTCAAGACCAGCTTCAGCACCATAAGAAGACCCCTCCAAAAAACTGAAAATCAAGTCCAGACCCAGCACTTTGGGAGGCTGAAGTAGGAGGATGACTTGAAGCCAAGAGTTTGACAACAGCCTGAGCAACATAGTGAGACCTCGTCTCTTCAAAAAAACAGAAACATCAGCCAGGCTTGGTGGCGCACACCTGTATTCCCAGCTACTTGGGAGGCTGAAGCAGAAGAAGGCCCACTTGAGCCCAGCTCAGGAGTTTGAGGCTGCACTGAGCTACGATGACACTACTGTACTCTAGCTGGGAAACAGAGAGAGACCCTGTCTCAAAAAAAACCAATAACCAACCCCCCCCTCCCCAAATAACAAGTGTTGGCAAGGATGTGGAGAAACTGGAACATTCATGTATTCTTGATGGGAATGTAAAATGGTGTAGATGCTATGGAAAACAGTACGGCAGTTCCTCAAAAAACCAAATATAGAATTACCATATGACCCCAGAAATTCTACTTCTGGGTATATACCCAAAAGAAGTGAAAGCAGAGAGTTGAATGTGTATTTGTACACCCATGTTCACAACAGTATTATTCACAGTAGACAAGAGTAGAAGCAACCCAAGTGTCCTTTGACAGATGAATGGATAAACAAAATGTGGTGTGTGTGTGTGTGTGTGTGTGTGTATACACACACACATATACACAATGGAATATTAGCCTTGAAAATGAAGGAGATTCTAATACATGCTACAACATGCATGAACCTTTAGGAGATTATGCTAAGTGAAATAAGCCAGTCACAAAAAGACACTATATGATTCCACTATATGAGGTACCTAGAGCAATCAAACTCACAGAGGCAGAAAGTGTAATGGTGGTTGCCAGGGGTAGGGGAGAATTGGAAATGTGGAGTTGTTAATGGGTATAAAGTTTCAATTTTGTAAGATGAAAAAGTTCTGAAGATTGCTTATACAACAATGTGAATATACTTTGACACTACTGAACACTTAAAATGGTTAAGATGGTAAATTTTACATTATGTATATTTGACTGCAATTTAAAAAACAAAAAAAGGAATGAGGTAATGATATGTGCTATACCATGGAAGAACTTTGAAAACTGCTAAATAAAAGCAGCCAGTCACAAAAGGCCACATATTTTACAATTCTATTTATATGAAAATGTCCAGCAGAGGGAAATCCAGACACAGAAGGTAGATTAGTGGTTGCCAGGGGCCTCAGGGAAGGGAGAACAGGAGACAACTACTAATGGATATGGGTTTCTTTCTGAAGTGATGAAACATTCTGGAATTAGTAGTGATGGTTGTACAACTTTGTGAATATACTAAAAACCACTGAATCGTAAGTTCAGTAAGAAAACCCCAAGTTTGGAGTTGAATGTGAAAAAAAAAAAAAGAAAAGAAAACCCCAAGTGACTACTGGAAACAAAAATAACACCAACTCCCTGCCATAGGAAAATGTCATATGAGCTATAAAATCCTATCCTTAGATCATTGGCATGTAGATATAAGCCAGAATAAAATAGCTAGACCTGACAAAAAGGTAACACAAAGCAGTCATGGTTGAAACATGATTTTGGGAGTCCTAGTAAATGCAGAACGAGATTAGCTTCAAAAGTGTGATATAGAAGGAACAGATAAATCAGACTGAAGCAGAGGGAAAGATAGGCTAGAAAAACAGAAGTGAGGCCAGATTATGGAGGACCCTAAATACCAGGCTAAGAAGTTTGGACTTTTTTTTCACAACTATTAACTTACATCATTATTTTCAAAAAGATTAATTTTATGACACTATAATAGACTGAATTACACAAAAGTAGAAAAAAACTAAAAATTCTATCAATTTAGAGACAGTGGTTGTCTAAGCATTAGGTGATGAGGACATAAAGTATCAAAGTATTAGTAAGTGTAGGTGAACAAGACATCAAAAAACAATAAACTGACACATTTCATCATTTGTTTTAAATGTAAGGAATAATAAAAAAGGAAAAAACTAAACACAACTCAGACTTCCAGGCTAAATAACTAGGAAACCATTTACTGGAATAAAAAGTAGGAGTAGGTTGGATGTGGTGGCTCAAGCCTGTAATTGTAGCACTCTGGGAGGATGAGGCGGGAGGATTGTTTGAGCTCAGGAGTTCAAGACCAGCCTGAGCAAGAGCGAGACCCCATCTCTACTAAAAAATAGAAAGAAATTAGCTGGACAACTAAAAACACATAATATAAACAATTAGCCGGGCATGGAGGCACATGCCTGTAGTCCCAGATACTTGGGTGGCTGAGGCAGTAGGATCGTTTGAGTCCAGGAGTTTGAGGTTGCTGTGAGCTAGGCTAACACCATGGCGCTCTAGGCAGGGCAAAAGAGTGAGACTCTGTCTCAAAATAAATAAATAAAATAAATAAATAAATAAATAAAAAGTTGGAGTGGAGGCCAAGCGTATGCTTGGAGTGGCTCATGCCTATAATCCTAGTACTTTGGGAGGCCAAGGTGGGAGGATGACTTGAGGCCAGGAGTTTGAGACCAGCCTGGGAAACATAGCAAGATCCTATATCTAAAAAAAAAAAAATTAGCTGAGTGGTGGTATGCACCTATAGTCCTAGCTACTTGGGAGGCTGAGGTAGGAAATTGGCTTGAGCCCAGGAGTTCAAGGCTGCAGTGAGCTATGATCATGCCACTGCACGCCAGCCCTGGCAACAAAGTGAGACATTGTTTCAAAAACAAAAAAGTTTAGAGTGAAGAAAGAGCTCATTTGGCGGGATGAATGAAAGTGGTAATTCTTCAATTTTTACTGACATATTTTTTGACAAATATTTCATTTTTACCAACTTTGAAGTAATACTGAAAAAAAAAAACTAAACATGAAGACATACCACTCACCTATCAATGCAAAGCCAAAAGAAAAGTGGTAAATAGCAGCTTAGACAGTCTCTGGCTAAGTGCTGCAAGCAGATAATAAATTAAAAGAGACTTATGGCAGAAATTTGTCTTTCCTATAGACTGGACCCTCCTGGATATAAAATGAAAGATCATAAAATTCAATCTTTTAATTATATATAACTTTGTGAGAATGTTAAACAGTATTCCAACTGAAAGTTGTTGGCTATGAGGATTTGAATTAAATAAATAAATGTTGGTCCTTGAAGCAAGATGAAAAGTAAATATTTAAAACTTGTCAAACAAGTTTAAAGAGTCATTTATCAGCACTGCTGCTGAAATTAAACAATCAAAACAGCACGCCTAATCAAGGGCAAAAAATTGGTCACATGAGAAGAAAAGTGGCAACTTAATTCAGTTGATCAAACTAAAGAAATAACAATAAAAATACCCAAGGGCTGTGAAAAGTCGCATGTCTATTTATAAGACTGTAATAAGCATAACAAATGTGTAAAACTTTTTATATGATGCACATTGTATCACCCAGGAAACTCTGTGATGTATATATTGTCTTTTTTTTTTTTTTTGGAGACAGAGTCTTACTTTGTTGCCCAGGCTAGAGTGCTGTGGCATCAGCCTAGCTCACAGCAACCTCAATCTCCTGGGCTCAAGCGATCCTACTGCCTCAGCCTCCCGAGTAGCTGGGACTACAAGCATGCACCACCATGTCCGGCTAATTTTTTGTATATATATTTTTAGTTGGTCAATTAATTTCTTTCTATTTTTGGTAGAGACAGGGTCTCACTCTGGCTGGTTTCGAACCCCTGATCTTGAACAATCCACCCGCTTCGGCCTCCCAGAGTGCTAGGATTACAGGCATGAGCCACCACACCTGGCCTGTATATTGTCTTAAACATACAAATGACAAAGAAACTCCCCTTCTAGTTCAGTTACAAGGACTCACCTTTATTGTCAAGGAATACATAACCATCAAAGCGATCCCTGAACAAAATAATGTCCTCTTGGTTTTTAAAGTTGATGTATGCTCTGGCATACATATGAGGATACAGACTGCAGAGAGGAAAGCAATTATGTAAATGTGCTTGCAGGTGTCTTGCTGAATTAGAAGTATGCATATATTAAACAGGCTCAAAAATCAAGTGGAAAACATTAATAGGATAAAAAGAATGGAAAAAAATTTTATCCCTCCTCCCTCCTTTTTTTTTTTTTTTTTTTTACCTAGTATCATTAGAAAAAAACTCAAAATAATCATGTTCAGGCATAGGTTGAAGATGTTCCTGAAGCTGCTCCTTGGTCAAAGTGGGAGGTAATCTTCGAATTACCACCTTAAGAAATGAATAAGGAAAATAAAATTAGTACAAATCAATTTTCTGTCATACCTCAAAGAATCACAGTTCCTGAAGAAAGATGGGCTTTAAAATATGAGATCACTTATAAAAACCCAGGAGAAAACATTCTTCGGCAGCCCAATGCTCAGAATTAGTCAAACATAATAAAGTGGCTTTTAAAAACTCTTTGGAATGAGAACTGCCTGGAGCAAGGAAAATCTCAAGTTTTGCTCTTAAGCCAGCAGTTTATCAGGTTTGCCTATCATTTTCTATCACCTATCTTTCAACAGATGTAGTGGAAATTAGTAGCCCAACCCCTCGTCTTTGTGGGTGCCACGAAATTTTGATTTAGTAATCTCTCTCTCCCACGTCCAACATACCCTAAAACAAAATCCTTGCCCCATTCAGCCTAAAGAATTCAAAACTCTAGGATGCTCTGGATCTGCCCCACAGACCATTTATCCCCCTTGAGCTCTCTCTCGATTCCCGCCCCCCCCCCGCCCCGCCATGACTATTCCCTACGACAAACTACTCCCATCCCTGATGTCCCCTTCACTATTTAATAATTCTCCCCAATTAAAATTTTAATTCCTCATTATTTTTAACGTCGCTCCCCTTCCCATTACCTCACAGCTCTGACCTAAACCCTTCTCTTCTAGGGAGTCCTCTCTTTTCCTTACCCCTACCCTAGGGCTTGGCTGGGAGGGGCTCCCCCCATTTCAGGGGAATGGATGAGACAGGGTGATGCGATTTTCATTCAGCAAAAAGATAGTGAGGGGACCAGGAAGAGGTCAGACCCATTCCCAGCCATCCTCCAGGAGCCGCGGACCCGTCCCGCCCTCTCCGCGGCCAACCGCCAGCCGGGCACCTTGCTCAGAGCCTCTTTCTTCTCCTTATTGCGATCTTGCTTATCTTCCCCTTTGGCGCTGTCCCCCGAAGTCCCACCGCCACTACCTGTGGCCCCCGGGGGCGTTAACAGGGTTACTCGCTTCTCCTTAGGCCTATGTTCCTTCTCTTCCTTCATGGCCACGGCTGCGTTCCTCACAGCGGCAGATCGGCCTAAACGCCGCTATGCCGGGCACCTACGGCTGGGCAGCACCCGTGAAAGCTCCGCCCCCAACAACTGGCCCTAGTGATAAGCCGGGCCCCGCGTTCCATTGGGCCCCGCCAGAATCTCGCGAGACTTTAGGGCAACCACCCTCCTTCAACGGAAAGGTTTTTAACACCTGGTCTTTACTTCCCGCCTGCGGAATCCCCGCGCCGCCCAATCCCCTCGCGGTCCAGACTCCCTGGGGGCTCGCTCCTTCGCGCTTCATTAGCAACTCCGCCATCTTGACTAGGAACCAACTGTCAGGGACTACGAGTCCCGGCATACAAAGCAGCCGTCCTCTTCTGATGGGGCGTTCTGAAGCCATAGATTTCTCGGGGTCCCTATTTGTTTTTTTTGTTTTGGTTTGTTTTGGTTTTTGAGACAGAGTCTCGCTTTGTTGCCCAGGCTAGAGTGAGTGCCGTGGCTTCAGCCTAGCTCACAGCAACCTCAAACTCCTGGGCTCAAGCAATCGCTTTCCTGCCCTCACCGCCTCCCGAGTAGCTGGGACTACAGGCATGCGCCACCATGCCGGCTAATTTTTATATATATATTAGTTGGCCAATTCATTTCTTTCTATTTATAGTAGAGACGGGTCTCGCTCTTGCTCAGGCTGGTTTGGAACTCCTGACCTCGAGCAATCCTCCCGCCTCAGCCTCCCAGAGTGCTAGGATTATAGGCGTGAGCCCCCCGCGCCTGACCTCTCAGGGTCCCTATTTGTAGTAAATTGGATGCTTTGATCTTGAAAGTTTAATGTTTTTCAAGTCCAGTGATAGGTTTTGCGACCTATACTTCCACGCCCGGCCCTCATTGCTTTTTTTTAGTAAAAGGATTCTCTCCTGGGGACTCCACAGAGAAGGGGTAAAAAATAAACCCCATAGCACTCTGGGAGGCCGAGGTGGGCAGATCGCTCAAGGTCAGGAGTGCGAAACCAGCCTGAGCAAGAGCGAGACCCAGTCTCTACTATAAATAGAAAGAAATTAATTGGCCAACTAATATATAGAGAAAAAATTAGCCGGGCATGGTGGCGCATGCCTGTAGTCCCAGCTACTCGGGAGGCTGAGGCAGTAGGATCGCTTGAGCCCAGGAGTTTGAGGTTGCTGTGAGCTAGGCTGACGCCACGGCACTCACTCTAGCCTGGCAACAAAGCGAGACTCTGTCTCAAAAAATAAATAAAAAATAAAAATAAATGGAAAAAATACAATGGAATATTATACAGCCACAGAAACGAAGTACTGATACACACTACAATGTGGCTAAATATTGAAAACATTATACTAAGTGAAAGAAGCCAGTCACAAAAAGTTACATATTGTGATTCCATTTATAGCAAATACATAGAATGTAGAATAGTTAAATCCATAGAGAAAGAATGCAGAAAGGAGATGTGAGGGGCTGGGTAGGGAGGAGGGAATGAGGAACATTTGCTTAATGGGTATGTTTTCTTCTGGGGTGATAAATGTTTTGAGGCCAGACACGGTGCTTCACGCCTATAATCCTAGCACTCTGGGAGGCCAAGGCGCTCGGATTGCTCGAGGTCAGGAGTTCGAAACCAGCCTGAGCAAGAGCCAGACCCCCATCTCTACTATAAATAGAAAGAAATTAATTGGCCAACTAATATATATAGAAAAAATTAGCTGGGCATGGTGACGCATGCCTGTAGTCCCAGCTACTTGGGAGGCTGAGGCAGCAGGATCATTTGAGCCCAGGAGTTTGAGGTTGCTGTGAGCTAGGCTGTAGCCATGGCACTCACTCTAGCCTGGGCAACAAAGCGAGACTCTGTCTCAAAAAAAAAAAAAAAAAGTTTTGAACTTACATAGAGGTGGTAGTTGCACACCATTGTGATAACACTGAACTGTTTACTTTAAACTGGTTAATTTTATGTGAATTTCATCTCAGTAAAAAAGAATGTTTTAAAAAAGGTTAAACATAAAGTTAATATATGATTTAGCATTTCCACTCCTAGGTATTTCCCCAAGAGATATGCAAACATATGTCTACACAAAAACATGTACATGAATGTTCATAGCAGCATTATTCATAATAGCCAAAAGATGGAAACAACCCAAATGTCCATCAACTGACATATGGATAAATGAATGTAGTATATTCATAAATCAATATTATGTGATCATATTAAGGAATGTATTGCTACATGCAACAACATGGGTGGATGAACTTTTAAAACATGTTAAGTGGAAGAAGGCAGTCACAAAAGGCCACACATTTATATGATTCCATTGGTATGAAATGTCCAGATTAGTCAAATATAATAGAGACAGAAAAGATATTAGTGGTTGCCTGGGGTGAGGGCATGGAAGGAGGGGAAATGGAGAATGACTGCTAATGGTACAGATTTCTTTCTTTCTTATTTATTTATTTATTTATTTATTGAGACAGTCTCCCTCTGTCTCCCAGGCTGGAGTGCTTTGGTGTCAGCCTAGCTTACAGCAACCTCAAACTCTGGGGCTCAAGCGATCCTTCTGCCTCAACCTCCCAAGTAGCTGGGACTACAGGCATGCACCACCACGCCCCGCTAATTTTTTCTACATATTTTTAGTTGTCCAATTAATTTCTTTCTATTTTTAGTAGAGATGGGGTCTTGCACTTGCTCAGGCTGGTCTCAAACTCCTGACTTCGAGCAATCCTCCCACCTTGGCCTCCCAGAATGCTAGGATTACAGGACTGAGCCACTGAGCTCGACCCTATTTTACTTTTGAATAACTTTTTTGGTATCAATTCTCAGAAATAGTAAAACAAAACAAAAAAAAAACACAGTTTTTATACTTCTTTGCTACTCATTGGTAGATTTTTCCATAACATTTTTCTTTATTTTTTTTTCCCTTTCCCACTGCTATTTTTTTGAGACAGAGTGCTAGGATCATAACTCTTTTCAAAATATTTTCCTTCAGCCTGTCGCAGTGGCTCACGCCTGTAATCCTAGCACTCTGGGAGGCTGAGGTGGGCAGATAGCTTGAGGTCAGGAGTGCGAAACCAGCCTGAGCAAGAGCGAGACCCCGGTCTCTACTATAAATAGAAAGAAATTCATTGGCCAACTTCTATATATAGAAAAAATTAGTCAGGCATGGTGGTACATGCCTGTAGCCCCAGCTACTCGGGAAGCTGAGGCAGGAGGATCGTTTGAGCCCAGGAGTTTGAGGTTGCTGTGAGCTAGGCGGATGCCACGGCACTCACTCTAGCCCTGGCAACAAAGTGAGACTCTGTCTCAAAAAAAAAAAAAAAAAAAAAAAAAATATATATATATATATATATTTCTTCTTTGCATTCCAAGGCAGTGTGCTTTCCTGTCTCTCCATCTGCCTCTACAATGTCCTGTTTGGCTCTGTTTGTCTCATCCCTTAAATGTTTTCTATGTGATAGTTTCTTAAGCCCTTTCCCTAGTAGACTTTTCATGTATCCCCATGATACTTCATATATTCTGGATTATTTATCATATTGTATCAAGTGAGTTTGTCTCTGAACCTCTCCAAGGCTGAATTGGGTTTTTCTGTTTTGTTTTTTTTTTTTAGCATTGAAGTTTATTTGCATGTAAATAAACAGGTTATTTTTTAATGTTCCAGGGGAAAAAATCCCACAACAGATTTTGTCTACTTTCAAAAAAATGTAAAACCCCAAAGTATTTATATAATGGCCATATGCACAGAAAATCAAATTTAAAAGATTTTCGTTTTTAAAAAAGACCCTCCCCAACTGCTCCTGATGTCAATGTTTAAAGTCAAAATTTAAAGTTCAGCTCCTATAGCTGAGCATGTTTCCCATGAACCCAACAGATTGGGTTAATTCTGAGAGAACAACCCAGTGCACTCTTCTTGCTTTCATCACATTTGTCTTTGTTTAATGTTCAGCTCCATGAGGGCAGGGGCTGTATCTATGTTGTTCATTCGCTGCTAATATCTCCTATGGCAAGCACAGTGACTGATAGAGTAGCTGCTCAAAGAATATCTTTAAATGGATTAATGAATGTAAATAAAATTCATTCTAACCCACAGTTTAATCTTCCATCTGTTTCCTGGGATCAGCCCAAATTCTAGTCTTATCAATAAAAATTTACTAATCATTTGGCCTAACTGGCCTCCCTGACGCTTGTCTTCCATCTCACTGCAATCCATCCTATAGCAGCAACCACAGTAATATTTTTTAAAAAGTCTAATTGTGTTCCCATCCCCAAACCTCTATCTCCCCATTATCCACAGAATATAATCAAAGCTCCTCAGCTTGATTCAAGGCTTTGGCCACAATCTCCCCTTTTAAATCTCTCTGGGCTTATTTATTAAGTGCTTATTATATGCGAAACACTAGGCTAGTAACTGAGGAGTTCACAAACTAGTTGGGGAGACAGGTACATAAACTAAATTAATAGGGCATGATCAGCTCTATTATAAAGCCTGCAAAAACATGGATAGTTTCAGGTAATAGATTATAAAATATTAGGTTTTTTGCCCTCTGTAGGTTCACAAATTCAGTTTAGAACAGCAATGTTCCATGTGGCCACTAAACACATTTCAAGCACTGAACAGCCACACAAGGCTAGTGTCTATCATTTTGGCTAGCACAGCATAAACCGTTTCCATTATCCATGGAAAGAGGAATTACCTATAGGTGCTTCAAAGAGAACAAGGACCATTTCCCATACATGCACCCTATGGTACTAGCTACCAGTCCCCCAATCCAATCCCCCACACACACATGTACCTTGGCTCCAGTGTATTTTTAAGTAGTGCAGGCTCCCAAGAGAGAAACCATGAAAGTATTTTGTAAACTATTAAGTGATACAGAAATGTTATATAATAAATGGGTTCAGTTCTTGTTTTCATCACAGCTTTGGTTACCTCAAGCAAATTCTAGTTTTTTTCTCAAACTTCTCCCATCCCTGTATTTTATGCCTGACTCCTGAAAAAGACACAAAGGCAGTGTTTATCCCAGGGCTAAAAATCTAGATTATACCCACCTTGAAGTTTTTAATCCAGGACCCTATTTCACCGCCCACCTTCTCTGTTGCTTTCCCTAAAAACGAAGGACACCAATTAAGATTTC